ACCTCTCAAGCAATCTCCAGAAGATATAAAGTCATGAACTTGATGAATGTTTCTTTAGATCTTGCTAGTCCTTAAGTTTTGTGCATTTTGGTCCCATAATCTTGATATATATGAGTATGGCTTACTCTAGACCAAAGGAGTTGTCCTTTCAGATGTTTTCGAGTGTTAGGAGCCATAAAAATATGATCTTGGCCCCTTTCTTCCCTCCATGCAAGAGTTATGAAGCTTGGGTTTTGGGTAGTAAGTTACGGTTTCGACTTTGAGCACTTCCTATCCATGTAAAGTTATAAAGTTGGAAACTTTATGACTAAGGAGGTTATTTGGGGACTGGATCTGAGTTTTGGACATCATGACTTAAGGAAATAAGCACTTAATGGGAAAATGGGAGTTGACCGAGTACGTTGGGCGTACCTCATGAGTATGCAGCGTGTACTGGATGGAGAGCTCGTAATCTGGAAGGAACCCTTTACGCTAGGCGTAGATAGGGAGTACGCAGCGTGTACTCAGCTTGGTATGAGACCTTTGACTTTTTGATCTTGACCTTTGACCAAGAACTTGACAAAGTTTGACTTAGGAGCATTTTGGGTAATTTGAACAATAGTTTGAGATTAGGTCCCTGTCTGTTGTATAGTTGACCAGTAGAGTCGGTATTTGGAGCATCATTCATTCAACTATCTTTTAGACTGTGAGGTGAGTTTTCATCACTATACGTGTGGATCGAAGGCATCAATGCCGACCCACTGGATTATGTATCCTGTATATAGGATGATGTTATGTTGGTTATATGATAGACTGGTAGATCTGTCTGATTACCTATGTTCATTGGATATGTGTTAGACTGGTAGATCTGTATAATTACCTGTGTTCACTGGATATGTATTAGACTGGTAGATCTGTATGATTACATGTACTTGCTGGTTATTGATTGTTATTGTATATGTCGACATCGACATGTTATGGTTTGTTAGGTTGAGGCAGTCCTACTTTGTGCTGAATGCCAAGATACCCGAGACGGTCCGGATAGGCTGTAAGCCCTGCAAGGTGGTCTAGCTAGGCCGAAGGCCCAGAGGGAGGTCCGGATAGGTTGTAGGCCCTACGAGGCGACCCATTCAGGCCGAAGGCCCGAAGAGCGATACAGATAGGGTGTAGGCCCTGCGAGGTTGTCCAGACATGTTGAAGGCTCATGTATGCATGTTGTTATATGGTTGGTTGTGTGTGGTACTTTGGGGAAACTCACTAAGATTTGGCATACAGTTTGATTTTATGGTTTAAGGTACTTCAGTGGAAAAGGGAAAGGTGAAGGCTTGATCGTGCACATCATCCAGGATTTTATGTGTTTTGATGATTTTAGGATACTCTGATTCATGATAATGATTTTTGGGAAATTGTTTTGTAAAACTTATGAACTTTGGGATGGCTTTTGAAATGAAAATTTTGCCTTGATTTTTGGGATGTTACACTAAAATCGAAATACAAAAGGGTTATATAAAACATACTTTATTGTTATTTTCAAATATAACAATGTACTTTGAAGACTCTTGGAATGCTAGCCCCAATAGTGTGGAAGCATCTAATGAATCACACCCAAACCCTAGGATCAAAAATAGAAAGAGTGGGAGAGGAGATTTCTAAATTCATTATGAGAATCCAGGGTTTTTTTGAGTCTTATAGAGGATCCTATTTATACTTGTAGGAAACCCTGATTTGAATCTAAAATATCAATAGAATATTCCAAATACTTAACAGTTATCTTATTGACCAAGGAAGGCTTCTAGAAACCCTATTAAGGGCTCCTAAAACTGTCCCCTATAGGGAGGTTCTAAAATACATCTTTGTTCAACTATTGAACAATTGCATTCTAACCCCTTAGACTCAATAAATAATTATAATTAATCCAACACAGTTAATTAAATTAATTTTGATTAATTCTTAATTAATAATTTGCATTTCTAATTAATATATCAATCCCATAATATATTAACAATTTAATTATCTCTTTCTTATAATCAATCCAAGCCATTTCTAGTTATGAGGGCAACCCAAAAAGGACTTTACTATTATTCAATCAAATATACCAATTTAGTTAAGACCTTATCACCATAATCCAACAAATTCATCGTGAGGACCACATCCATAATATCTGTAATGTTCAGGCTCTTGTTGTTTGCTAATCTTTCGTTCTCTTTCTAGTGCCATAAATTCTACATTACATCTCTGGAATGACTAGCATGAAATGACACACTATGATCCAAGATTAAGTTGAGTTTTCGACTACACAAAGGAGTGTATCTCCTTTAGAATCTATTACGATATTCATTTCCTTTCCTATATACGCAAGAGGCTTCAAACAATGATTCTTGAAATGACCATTGTTTTTGTAGTTCTAACATGCAATGCCCTTCATGTTTTCCAATACACCTTTCATTTTCAACTTTGATCTTCCTCTATCCATACCCCTTCTGTTAGGCTTCCTTCCATTATCTTTAATACTTAGAAAATTATTGAAAGAATCTCTGGCACTCCGTCTGTGCACATCCTCACCAAGGATTTAATCATGAATGCTTTCGAATGTCAGCTTAACACATCTGGTTGAGCTGCTAATTGTTGTCACCATAACGAACCAACTATCGGGAGAAGATGATAATAGTAGCAATGCCAGAACTTCATCCTCGAATATATATCAATAAACATCAACCTTTTGATGACTAAATTGGATTCATTAAAATTATCCATCACTAAGCCACCCTCCTTCATCTTCAGATTCACCAACTATCGAATCAGAAAACCATCATTTGTTGTTGAAGTTTTTTCATACATGTTGGATATTGCATTGATCAACCCATAAGTAATCCTCCCATTGACAATGTTGTAAGCTACATTATTTTCCAATGGTAATCTCACCACACTAAGTACCTACCAATCTAACAAGTTCCACTCATCTTGCTCCATTTCCTCTAGTTTTCTTCCGATCAATGGAAGGTGCAACTTTTTCTGGTAGAGATCGTCTTTTATTTGCATTCTCCGTAATCTGAAATCGTGACCATCGCATTTGTTGATCTTAACTTTACAATCTTCAGCCACAACTTTGATACTAGGTTGTTGGGATTTAATAAAAATGTTAACCACTTCAAACAAACAATAAACAAATTTTGGTAAAACATGGAATAAAACTTCTAAAAACTATACTAAAAACAAAAAAACATAGTATTTAACGTGGTTTGTCAACCTAACCTGAGAGAGAGAGAGAGAGAGAGAGAGAGAGAGAGAGAGAGAGAGAGAGAGGATTTTATTAACTTCCAAGAACAATTACAATCACTCACAAAGTTGCACCTGACTTGATCTCTTAAAAATAATTTCTCTTACTTACAAATTGCTCCAAAGGATGCGCTATCAACCTCATAATGATTGTTCTCTTGTACGTGCTCATGTAAAGTAGTAATGAATAATAATGTGATATGTGTCTATTCATAGGCAAGCAGTTGAAACCCTAATTCGAGCTAGACCCATACATAATTAGCCCATGAAGAAAATGCCCTAATTGTCAACAAATCCCTGGACGCCCTGTAACTACTTCAAAAATGTTCAACCTTGAGGGATGTGCATGGCCACCTGTCATGCATATTAGAGCATATCATGTATGTCCCAACGCATCGTATGAGTACATTTAGCTACTTAGAGAACGTTCTCCTTGAGAACTTCACTAACAACGCATTCTTGGATCACCAAACGCATTTGCCCAGGTCAGGGGCACATCAGTAGACCAATGAATCCATAAGGGCGCCTTGATGACCAGGAGCACATTTGGCTAAGGTTGGTGCACATTTGTCAATGCTCCAACCCTTATACCAAAAGCTCTAACTCTTTCTTCAAGTACCTGATCACTTAAAAGACTCAACATCATTTTGCAAAAGATAGATTCTTACCCAAGGGTGCCTTCTGTCACCTAGAGAGCACCTTTGCTCACCAAGAGCACATTTGCTCAAGTCTTTACACTCCAATGGCGGTGACAAATTTAAAGTCGAAGATTCAGTGGGATGGGCGTTGAAGATTTAATATTTGAAGGGGAGGGTGATGGTTGGGGCACAATAGTGACAATACATGGATTAGAGAACTGAGGTCGATTTGGAAAAATCAAAGACATCGGCGAAGATGGTTTTTGTGGTGTTATGGTAGCAGTGTGGTGGTGACATCGATCTTTTCTGACGGCGGAAATAAAGGTTGTTACCTCTTATGGAGTTACTGATCATGAAAGAGAGAAGGGGATCATCGAACTCTTGTGGAAGCATATTATAGAAGGGAGAGTCCATGGGGTGCTATGTTTTTTCCCAATTTCTTTTATCTATAAAACTGGTCCCTAAAAGTTAGAAGATATGTTAAAATCTAAAAAGTCAAAATAGAGTCATTTTCGTTATTTTACATGAACTTAACAGAGAAATAGACTATAACGACTGGAGGGACCATTCCTGATGAATTTGCCAATGCGATGACAAATTTTTAAAAATATGACCAAAACTGCATAAAAGATGCCTGTAAATTGCTCTTTTTTAATTATTTGTTTGTTAAGGCAGGAGTCGTCGACCACAAACACAAACTCAGATAAGCAAGATAAGCAAGATGAGTTAAGGAACCAACGCACCACCGGTAGCTCCTCTTCTTTCCCTTCTTCCACCACCCGCCGGCAACTCCACCAATAAAAATCAAAATATATCATATTATAAACTGAAATTAGGGAACGTCGCTCCCATTAACCTTCATATATGAAGTCAAAGTTTATTTATCATTTTCCAGTATTGTCTGAAAGTACTTAAACATAACATTAGCTTCTTTCCTACGCTATCATATCCAAGAACATCAACACCGGATTTTGCACGAAAACTCCACGTTCAACCAAAAATATATACATATCTCCGTCCGAGTTTCGATCGATTAGCATTTCTATATACTGCATATCCCGATTAATAGACGATAATTTACAAGTGCTAAGAACTCAATCAAAAGTATCAGCTACTTATCTTATAGAGTTCGATAACAGATCGAAACTTCTTCCTCTTCCTTCTCCTGCTTCCGGCGACATCGTTATTCTCATCCTCATCGTCTCCCTCCGCTTCAAATCTCGGAACAAAGAATCTTCTCACCGCCGAAGTTATATCAGAGGTACTACTCCCTTGACTTTCGTCATGATCACCAACGACTTCCTTTTTTCTTCTCTTCATCGATATTGTCGCTAAAACCTCGCCGGAGGAAATACTGAGCCCGTGACCCTGAAAATAAGCGTCGGACTCGCCGCTGAGTTGAATAAGTTGCAACGCCGCTTCCACCTCCGGTTCCGTGAATCTCGATTGTTGTTCCAGGTGCGTAGTAGGGTTTGATGAAGATTTTTCCATGAGTGTTAGAGTGAGGGGAGATTTTTTTGTTTGTGCTTTTGGATTGGTGGAGAGTTAAGTAAAACGGTATAATTTCATTTAAAAGGGAAAGACACGTCAGCGGCTTCTTCACCGACCTAAGAGGTAATGGCGGTGGGGCCATTTAAAGGTTACGTGTCTTGCTTCGCAATACGTGAAAATTTAAATTTATTTAAACCATTAAGGCGGCTACTTTCTTCTTTTTATCCTGATAATCCGGGTTATCGGGTTATGATCTTAACCCAATTGGGTGATTTCTTGGCCCAATACGTTTTGAAACAATGTTTACTAAATAAGAAATTTATGAATACCTACCCTGTAATTTCACCTATAAAAAGTTACACGAGTTGTCTCGTGTATACATGAAAGTATAAATTTTGTTCGTAATTTGCGTATTTTCATCGCTTCTTTCAACTTTTTCTATATTTTATTTATTTGTTGCGTTTTCGTGTCAGACTCCGTTAGTTATCGTGGAGGTGGAAATAATAGAGTTGGCCGTGCAACTTCTACTCCGGTGGCCAACAACTTCAGCAGGCGGCAGCCCAACAACCTTGGGCAGCCGGCTAGAACCCAAATCAGTAGGCCTTTGTGCATGATTTGGTACGTCGATAGTAAAATGGGCTCCACCAACTCCTCTTTTCTATGGATATTATGGACAACCCAAAAATTAATACTATATTTTTTAAAATTCCATCGGAGAAAGTTCGAAATTAATAAAAACGTATTGCCAAGGTTCGAACTCGGGTAAAAGATATATGGGCAAATCTCAGTCGACCTAAGACCGCATACAATATTATTTGTGTTACTTTATTTCTAACTATAAATATTCGGGCCAAGACTATGGGGTAACCACTATCATAATCGACCTAGAGCTAGGCCTCATCTTATTTTCTAGTCTCCTTTGTTACAAATATAATCTTAATATCGATACAATCCACCTTAATTTTTATGTAATTTAATGATCACTCAAACTTAAAAGTTTATATTCCAATACAAATGAATATTTTTTTAACATCGATATATATTTTCTAAGTAAAACACACGTATTACATCTTGTGAGCATAATCATAAATTTGTTCGAAAACTTTAATATTTTTACTAAAGTGCACTACTGTAACGTTCTTGCATAAACTTATTTTCAATTTCTTTTAAATTTTATATTTTACTTGTTTGATCATTTATGATATAATATAATTAAAATCAACTTTTTTAGATAAATAAGGTTGAAGCTGTCTCCGTAAAATTTCTAATATTGATTGTTTTTACGTGCAGAATTAGTGTATAAACATTACTTTAGATAAAGTATAATCAAAATAAAATTATCTCTTTTTAATTTTATTTGATTGATTAATACATTTATGATTTAAAGAGTCAAAACTATGCCACATTATATAGTTCTTAAAAATAGAATTTTTAATACATATACAATATATATATTTTGACTTAAATTATTCATATAATTTATGTAAAGAGTACGTAATACCAATGAAAAAGAAAAAAAAATTAAGTTTGTTATATGCTGTTGAAACTCTGTAATTTCCAACAGAATAGACAGAATCTAAAAAATAAAGATTTTTTATTTTATTTTATTGGTATTCCATCAAAAATACCCAACGGACGATGACGTTAGTGTCCGTTGTAATTCCGTCGTTGATTTGTCGCAATATTATGGTTTTTTTTTGTCACTGGTCTATCGATAATTACTCGATAATTACTGACGAATCTATTATGTCTGTAAAATCTATCGGAAATAAGAGAGGCCCTTCTCTTAGTGTTTTAATAAAACATATTTCTTAATATTTTTATACATTTTTGTATTTTGAACAATGTATTCCCCGATTATAAAATTTAAAATAAGTAAAAAGAATTCCACGTAACTGAAGATCGAGCTACAATTAATTTCAACACGAAAAATAGTTGACCACTTAATCGATACATCCAAGAATAGTTTAGACCATTCTTCGTTGTTAAGAATTCATTGACGTTGGGTTAATTGTTTATTATAATTTAACCTTTTCCGAGTCAACAAAAAAAATGTTGATATTATTAAAGAACACTAAACGAAACCCATTCATCTAGCGATTACTCGTATATATGTGTTTTCAAATTAATCTGATTATTTCACCTTCGTGTTATTTAAAAATGAAAAAAAAAAAAATTTGACTCGTTAATGGCAATTACATATAGGAAAGTGGGGTACGTTACGCAACAGGACATACGGGAACCAAAAGCACAGAAGCCAGGTGAAATAACATCGATAACTACAAAATATACAAACTTGTCTAACGCTGTAGAAAGATGATCATATCCTAGCAGGCTAGCACTAGAATTCAAAATATATCAGCGTTCTTTATTTGTATCTATTATCTCTTTCGATTGTTTGTAAAGAACGCTTTGATATTGCATCTTTTTGAAAATCTTGAAATAAAGTAAGAACGTAAACAAATTAAGAAAGTTATTAATTAGTTTCAGAAGATGAGGAAAATTCAAAACTGATCCTTCCGACAAATTGTAATGTGTTATGTAAATTAGTGGAGTTCAAAAGTTATGAATACATAAGTTGATACATGTTTTTTCATGTTCTTGTTATTGTTTTTCTAAATGACTCGTGTAATTCATCCACATCAATTCTAGATCTCTTTTTGTGTAAAATGGTTGTAGATATGGGATCCTCTAGCGATCGATATAGAGAGGATGAAATCCATATATTATGTCTCAATCAGAGGTATTGCCTCGATCGTTTTGTTAAACTGTTGTTGGATATATGTGCATGCATGTTCTCAAACTTTTTCTAGTCTTCTATGCTTATGCATCAAAGCTTAAACCCTCAGTATGTAGAATATATATCAACAAAAACAAATAACATATCTGCATTCATCGTGTTCCATTACTTGGATGTAAAATATTAACCATAAAATTAGAAAAACAAATAAAAATTTAATATACTTTTACTTCCTTCGATCTATCCATGTATATATACTTAACATTAAATCATAAAATTACTGGGTTGGAATTCTTCTAAAATGATATAGATATACCGATCAAAGCCGCCTAGTGACATGGTAAATATCAACTATGGATCGCAATCGATGATGTTGTAGTCTTTGAACTCTTCCTTCATTCTCCTCCATTGATACACTCGATATCCCAGATTTTATGGTTTCAGCGGACGAAGATGATGATGAAGAAGAAGTGACTGATTTTACATCTCTATCATTCTTAGGTTTAACATTAATATCTTCTAGTCCATATTCTTGAATCCTCTTCTTCTTCCCCATGATCATCCTGAACCCAACATCGTGACTACCACTATTACCAGTACAGCCATCATCGGAATCATAAGATTGTTGGAGAGGATTGCTGAGTAGAATCAAATGGAAAGCAGCCGCTTCCAGTAATTGTTGTTCCTTGCAGTTGGACTTTGATGATCCCATTACCACACAACATTCACTCATTTCATGATTTTTCCTCTTCTTCTCCGGCTCTACAATATCCGCTAATATTCTAGGATTCTCAGTAATATGTTTGCCCATCACTTGCTATTCTTCTTCTTTCCTTAGCCACCGCTACTGGTTGTAATCGAACCTTATAAGGAGAGAGAGAGAGAGAGAGAGAGAGAGAGAGAGAGTTAAAGGGTGTAGGTGGAGGGAATGTGTGAGGAAAGTAGGAGGAAACCGCGTGTATTTTGCGAATGAAGGTCGTGTTCATGAGTCATGACTTTCTACCCGACGCGGATACTTCATCCCTACTTTGATTAACTTAATTTTCCAAAAATATATATATGGAACTCCAAAAGAAAAAAACAAATGCGAAAACACCCAATGCATGGTCTAGGAGACTAGGAATTCCTTTCATGTCACATGTAGTTCTTTGTTTGTAAACAATGTATTTTTCTCGATGAACACATTTATATCTATATATTATTTATATTGAAAAATTCAAAAAAAATCATTATTAATCAAGGAACCAATGAATCAATATAAAACCTAGGAATTTAAAACCATCAATAGCAAAATAAAAGTTGTAGAGTTTTACAATTAACGCACATATATCGGATTATAACAAAACTTACTTCTTTATTTTTCGTTTAAATTTTTTTAAGTCATGTTTTTTATCGAAAAAAAAAACCGAGTATATATCATTGTTCATGATTTGTCCTCTTTCCATACAGATCGATATTAATATACAAAAAAAAAATCAAAAAAACTCACTTTATTTCTTTGTTTTTTGAAAAGTTAAGATTTTTTATCGAAAAAATTTAATAAATATTTCAAAATTCATATTTTTTGGTACTCTTTAAACATATATTCAAATTGATATTATATATATATATAATAGTAAGTCATATTCATATTGTGGATGTTAAAATTGAAATATTTACAGTTTAGATTCACAATGTGAATCTGAACTAATCGAGTTTTTTTAAACGTTGATAATATTTATTTATAGAAGACAAAAAATTAAGATTTTTGGTATAATTGGTTTTTTTTAATAAACTTAAATATTGAAAAAAAACAACAAAATGAAGTGGTTTTTTTCGGAAAAAAAATAGTTTGTTTATATATCAACATGGATCCTATGGAACGATGACGAAAAATCGTGAACAGCGGTATATTCCATTTTTTTTCAACAAAAAACGTGGCTTAAAAAAAATTAAACGAAAAAAAAAGATAGGTTTTTTGGTAAAGAAGTGGGTTTTATGATGTAATCCGGTGTATGTTCATCTAATATACAAATGTACATCCATATCCTTAGCCGTTGATCGGTTTAAATTGGGAAATCAATTGTAAAGTCCCAATATTTTGGGAAAATTTTTAATAAAGTCTTAAATATTATTTTTTTAACTAAAAGGTCCCGACTTTTTAACTTTTTGAATTTGAAAAGCCCAAGAAACCGGCTAATTTATTCACTTTAGCCCTTTTTGACCTGTTCAGCAGGTCATATGACCAAATCGTTAATTTTCTAAAATAATATGACTTTTCTGCAGATTTCGTCAAAACTTGTATATAATGTATAAACGTATTTTTTATGTATTTATATCTATTTTACGTACTTTTGTATTTTTTTAAGATTTTATATGTATATGTTTACGTATTTTTTTGTATTTTAAATGTATAAACGTATTTTTTTACATATTTATATGTTTTTACATATTTTTTATGTATTTTTATGTGTTATTTTTTATGTATTACGTATTTTTATATATTTTTAAGTATTTTTAAGTTTTTATATGTACATGTTTACATTTTTTATGTATTTTAAATTTATAAACGCATTTTTTAACGTATTTATATGTATTTTTAATTACTTTACATATTTTTCATTTATTTTTATGTGTTATTTTTTATGTATTACATATTTATGTATTTTTTAAGTTTTTTATATAGATGTTTATGTATTTTTATGTATTTTAAATGTATAAACGTATTTTTACATATTTATACGTATTTTTAAGTATTTTACATACTTTTATGTATTTTGATGTATTTTTTGATGTATTACGTATTTATATGTATTTTTATGTATTTATGTATTTTTTAAAGTTTTTTTCTATATAGATCTTTATGTATTTTAAATGTACAATTCTATTTTTTTCGTATTTATGTATTTTTTTTACTTCAAGTTGTTTTCACCATTTCATCCAATTCGTACAATTTCTTCGAGTGTGTCTAGATAGTTTTTCTACATACCCACATATTTTAAGCTTTTCCCAATCGCTTATCTTGAAATTAAACATCGAATGGGAAAAGCTTAAAATATAGGGGTATGTAGGAAAATCAACTAGATATACTCGAAGAAGCTGTGCGAATTAGATAAAATGGTGAAGATGACTTGAAGTAAAAAATACATAAATACGTAAAAATAATACGATTAAACATTTAAAATACATAAACATCTATATAAAAAAACTAAAAAAATACATAAATAAGTAAAAAAATACGTTTATACATTTAAAATACATAAAAATATGTAAACATATACATATAAAAACTTTAAAAAAATACATAAATACGTAAAAATAGATATAAATACGTAAGAAATATGTTTAGATATTATATACAAATTTTGACAAAATCTGCAGAGAAGTCCTATTATTTTCGAAAAATTAACAATTTGGTCTCATGACCTGCTGAATAAGTCAAAAATGGCAAAAGTGAATAAATTAGCCGGGTTTTTTGGGCTTCTCTATTTAAAAAGTGAAAAAGTCAGGATTTTTTTTGTTCAAAAAATAAAATTTAGGACTTTATTAAAAAATTTCCCAAAATATTGGGACTTTCATGGAGATATCCCCTTTAAATTTCGACGCTAATGATTGGTTCCTTGGTTACTTGTTAATAATGATTCCCTATTGAACCTCACCTTATTTTTATAATAATCATTGTTCAGTGATCAACTATAAATATTTACATTTGACCAGATTAATTTGAATTTGCTTTTATATATATATATATATATATATATATATATTATATATATCTATATATTATAATCTATATATATATATAATTGTATGTTGCGTTGTATTAAAATAATATTAAAAAATCACTACAAGGAATGATGCCTATGATGACGACATTTTCAACCATTATGCCGACGACATGTCGTCGGAAAAATCTATACCGACGATTTGTCGTCTATACAAAATCGTCGGCATAGCCCCATCGGTAAAAGTAGAAAATATCGCCGGTACAGATCCACCAATGTCGACGATTTGTCGTCTGCAAAGGGTCGTCGGGAGTGATTTTCGAGGAAAAAAATTATTATATACCTAGTCTGACAACTAATCGTCGGTATAAATATCACATTTACCAACGACGTCATCATGACAGGTGAAAACAATCAAGACGACTTGTGGTCGGGAAAAGGTGGTAACAAACAACTTCCATTTTAGCTATACCGAGGACTTGTTGTCGGTAAATGTGAAAACCGTTTTTACAGTTAAGAGTTATATTGACGACATGTCGTCGGTATAACTTTTTAAAAAATATATATTTTTCACAAATTTTGTTATATATATCAAACATGTTTTTTTTTTTTAAAAAAAATCCAAACAGTATATATGTATAATAATATCATTTAATAACCCTAACAAACCATTACAAATCAAATTCAAAATCCACTACAAAGCAAAAATAATAAAATAAATAAATAAACAATTCTTCAACAAACATTGTTCAAAATAACATGAATGATCAATCAGAATCTTCATTGTTCTCGTTCTCGTTGTCCTCAAGCTCATTGGTTAGTTTGGGGGTATTTTGTGAAAACATATTATGATTGAATGGAAATTGTGGCATTGGTTGTGGTTGGAAAATGTCGTCGGGATAGATGTCGTCGGTAAAGAGCCACCAATGTCGACGATTTGTCGTCTGCAAAGGGTCGTTGTGTGACATCCCCAAATTTCACGGCCAGAAAAAACTGATTTGTTTATACTTTATTCGAAAATCAGAGTATACTTTTAAAGAAATATGTTACGGAATTTGTTCCCAAAAATATGATAAAGAATTTATCAAAGTAATTCCGAAGAAATGTATTTTCATTAAATTACAAACATCGAGATGTCATTGTCAATACAGATCAAAAGCATAAACAAAAACAATATAGGCCTTATAAATATTCTATTTATTTCTACTGGCCTATACACTAGTACAAAAAAGACCTACGGTCACACTTTCCGAAAAACGGCCTATGACACCTTTTATTAAAAGTGTGGCCAAAGGTCACTAAAAAAATTTAGAGACTGTTTTTGGATACATTTAAATTAGTTTGTGTGGTCATTATATAGATAATCAAAACTTTAACCACACTTAATTATATCAAATGTGACAAATATTAGTCACACTCGACCACTGAGGTCATAGGTCATAATCAGCCACAGGTATCGATTAAGATTGTCATACTTTTTTTATGGGAGACAGTAGATAAACGTCTTGTGACATGAGTTAGTTCTATGTGTGTCTATAACCTGGTGCCTTTATAGCCACATAACAGACAAAGTAGCTAAAAGGTGATACATATGGTCACACTAAATATTTGTGTGTCCATAGGGCGGTTTTGTACTAGTTGTACTTAGTTAATGCAAGAAAATAAAACAAGTTAATATTGGTTACTTATGGTCATGTACCTTTTATTATGTGTGTCAAAATATTATGAATTGACTTTAAGAAGAAACAAATATTGTGTGTGTAGGTAGCATTTAGTTACGATTACAACTATTATATGTGTCTATATGTAAATATAGTTATAAAAGAACAATAATTTCTTAGCCACACTCGAATTTTGTGGTCATATGCGACTAACAGCCACGCCTACAAATTAAAGACCCCTTCTCTCTTCTCTGCAATAGAAACCACCGACCACTGACTCTCCACCAAAAACCATCATTCACTGCGCGTTGACTACCACTGCACATCGTCGACTACCACCGGAGGCCACCGCTTCTCTCCCTATTTCTCTCACACAAACGAAAAATACTATTACCAAAAGGGCAATATAGTAATTTTATGTATGATATAGGATGAAGCATGAAAAT